GTTGGCTTTGGTAGCCTCCCTTCAGCAACCCTCTTGGTACCGCTCTGCTAGAACCACATTGGGTTCTACGTTAAACAGATACAACGTGGATAGGACTCATGACTCACTTACCATACCATAGTCTATCTAATAGTGAGATCAAACCTGTAGATAACCTCACTTTGGAAATTTCTGGATTTTCACATACATTTCACTTGTATACATGTAAGTTGCACTTTTACTATTTAGGCAAATCATATATAAATCATCTGACGCCGAATTACGTCAGTACGTGCCCCTTAAATAAAATTCTAGAATTTTACCCTGAGGTTGCCCAAAGAATAACTTTCACCTTTCTGTGTTTAATTTGCCTGTTGGTAAAGTGTAACCCATACTGTCCTTTTAATCTTTCACAGGTGGTAATCAACAGTTAAAACTGTTTATTTTAAATTCATATATTCATTATTTACATTTTTTTTATTTATTCAAATATGCACAAATTAGGTACAAGCCTAATCCTAAACACCTTTTTTAATAACTTCGTGGCTACTTATTGGCGCAATAGTTAAGTCCTAATTACTTGGTGGCTACACTTTTTGGCGCCTTATTATTATTGTTATTATTTTTTAATAAAGAAAGCCAGATACATTATTGTACCTAATTAGTTGTTAAGCGCTCCAATTGTACAAGTTTTGTTATAACATCAATAAGTGATCTTCCTAGTTAAGTCACATTTAACTTGGTGGCGCCCAAAGGTAAGATGTATACAAGGAACCCATAGACCCATGGCCTCCGGACTGATGCTGACTAGCCGTATGCAGTATAATTAGGCAATTGCCAAAATAAGTACGTTATAATCTAATGGTATCTGCCAAAAAGCACATGAAGCATGTAGCACTGAAAACCATTTGGCCTGACCAATTAAGAAAAAAATAGTATTAATGGTAGGTAGTTCAAGTCTTTGTCGTATGATATACTTGTTCAGAGATCTTCGGCCCATACATAAACGAACTGAGCCATCTTTCTTCTCGGTTACAATAAGTGCATTCAACCATTCTGTTGCTTTTTCTAATTTTGTAACTATTCCGTCTTTTTCCATTTGATCAATAGCCTTCTTTACTTGTTCGTACAATGCCAAAGGAAGTTTACGGCATCTGATGGCAATGTTCGGTTCAGAGTTTGATTGAAGTGTAATTTTACACTGGTTTTTAATGCAACCTATACCTTTAAAAACGTTATCATATTTTTCAATAATTTGTAGAGCGGAATTTTTGCCTTCCTTCATATTTTCTATACTCTCTTAATTAGATTAAGTTGCATACAACTCTTCATCAATCCTAGTATAGGCTCATAATTTTCTTCTAAAATGTAAAAATCAAAATCCTTTTTAACATCGTTATACCTGGCTGATAATCTACAAACCCCTAAAACATTTAGTTTATTTTTATTGTATACTAATAATAACAATACCTCTTGATATTCTTGCTCATCTTCATCTATTATTTTCTTGAACTTCATATAACTTCTTCACCTTGCAACATGAAGAAAAATTATTTCGGTTTTTGCATTTGCCGCATATTTTTCCCCAAGCTGGAAAGTTGCCAAAATCATGGGAAAAATTGCAACGATAACATTTTTTATCATTTGGTAAATAGTTTTTGAAGTTTGGATTTTTAGCTTCGTATTTGTTAAATATATTCAACCTGTCAATCCCTAAATTATTACTATCTGATGAAATACCAGACATAGCTCTAACTTGTTTTCGTGATCCTTCATCTGCCCTGCAAATATCTATACATTTAGATAAATCGAAATCCCTCGTAATAAGCAACTTCTCTTGAAGAATATCATTTGTTATGCCACACACAATTCTATCCTTAATCAATGAATTCTTTAAATTTTCAAATCCACAATCTTCCGCTTTCTGTCTTAATTCAGTAAAATATTCATTATTTAATTGGTTTTCTTTTTGTTTACAAGAGAAAAATAAAAACCTAGTATATGTTTCATTTTTATATGGATTGAAATAATTCGTAAGTTTATTCAAAATTACTTCTACAGTAAGCTCATCATCTTTTTCAGCAAAGTATAATGTGTTATAAATTTCTAGTCCATAATCACCCAAGAGATGTTACAATATAGCTCTTTGTTTTTTTACCTTAGCTTTTTCAATAGACCTTTTCAAAGTAGAATAATTCTGTTGCGCATGCGCAAAACATTGTTGCCAAGTGTCGGTTTCTATCACGCTATACAGGAAAGAATCATGAACAATTTCGATTTCATTAGAACTGAGATTCAAATTCTTTATTATTAATTAACCTTATATTTGATGCAGTCAAAGACTCAAGCTATTTATTGAAAAGATATATTGATGGTCATTTTGTAAAGTTTTTTTTTTAAACCTAACGCGCTTCAATTTGTACAAACCGGCAACATCGCACAATTTCACTGTCATTTCTTCGATCAGCTGATTATTGTTTTGCGGTCCATGTTACACGTTTATGCATGGGAAAATATTGGAAAAACCTATTTAAAAATTAGTAAAAGCGATGGGGCACACAAATATTGTGTTTTTGGAAAGTGTAATAGTGACAGCAGAGTTGGAAGACCCGGATATTCCGAGGGATTAATTTTTTACCGCTTTCCCTGGCCACGTCTTCAACATAAATTCCTTTTAAGTTCCAATACGCTATTTTTCTCTACAATCTCATTACGAAAAATTGCACCCGGCACATCTGCTGCTGATAATTTAACGTTTTTAAAAGGCATTTGGGCCATTTTAAATTGGAAAAGGTATTAATTACAACTTTTTTATAATACTTGCTATGCTTTTTGGACCGCAAAACAAACAGCCAACATAACCCCACTTATTTGACGCGCAAGCGCGTTGTGGACCTTGAAAAGGTCTATATCAGCAGCTACCCAATACAACTCCACTTTCTGTCTCCATTTATTCCATGATAATGCCTGATTGGGCCCTGGTTCAAATGATTTTGGTGCTTGCAAATTTGCCATTTCAATTGACTTATGTTATACGAAATTCTTCACTCGTTTCCGCTGCCACCATATAACATTATTGTAATGATGTAATAGTAATAAACTGTATTCAATGAACTAAATATATTTTATCTACAAACGTTTGGTTATGACGTTTTTACATAACCATTTTTCTAGTATTTGAGTTACGTTATGAGACTCATAACACAACTAGTGGTGTTATAGACTAGGTTATGAATTCATAACACAACTAGTGGTGTTATGGACGAGGTTATATGAGTCTATACCACAACTATTTTTGGTGATTTGACAAATGTCAAAGGTAAACCTGTAAAGGTAAAATGAAGGTAGACAACTATTAATGAACGAAAATAATTGGAAAAATATTCTTATTTTTCGCTTTGTAGATAAAACGTTGTACATCACACGTGCGTTTAAACATGACTACAAAACTCGTGTGATTAGAACGACTCGGTCTACGACCTCGTCGTTCTAATCTTTCACACTCGTTATTGTAATCATGTTCATAAACGCGCTTGTAATGTAAATAACTATTAAAAATTGAAAGATAAGATCCATAGAGATAAGATCATAGAATAAGGTTTGATACGATCATATATTGACAATTACAATTCTTCAATCAGATCTCTGTTATTCTATGATCTCTGTCACTGGTAGACAATACCAGAAACAGGTTCACAATAATTATGCAACAAATAAAATCTATACAAAAGATCCTTTGTTTCTTTCCTTATGTGTTTTTATCATTCCAAACCGGATCCACCTGTACTTTGTGAATTGTAGAAATAATGTCCTACATTGACACAGGGGCCGGATTCTCGTCTCAGGGAGTAGGACTCCCTGAGAGAACAAATTTTTCGTCTTTATTATTCTCGTTTACTTTTCGATAACGTTGACAAAGACAAAACATTCGTTCCATCGGGAAGCTCTACTCTCTGGCCCGAGAATCGGCCCCCTCTGGGTCCTTATTCTTGAAACAGGGGAGCAGCGTTCCCAGGAGAACAAGTGTTCCGTCTTTCTCAATGATATGCAAATGATAATATAAGTAACAAAGACAGGACACTTGTTCTCCTGGGAACACTGCTCCCCAGTTTCAAGAATAGACTAGAAGCATGTGACCATAATCCTCGATGTTGTTCTTTTATCTGATCTAACATTTCGGATGTTCGGGAAACTAATTAATCATCATGTCATGTGTTCGTTTATATTGGACGTAACATGCAAGTCTGGCTTAATCAGTTATTCGGACCCAAGGCAAAAAAAAATTATATATCTATATTCTGAAGTTCCAGAGAGTACCGTTTAGGCGCTGGAACTCTGTAACTGATAGAGATCGTTATCCCTATCGTTATGGCATTTGCTGTCTTCCTCTCTCTTTCGAAATCAATAGAGAGGGGATGTTAATAGAGATAAAGGAAATATCTTTATTCGTTACAGAGTCCCAGCTCTGGGGGCAGATAATCGTGAACCATGCACTGGTACTTTCAAGGTAACTTGCTGCACAAAAACATTTACCTTATGCGGATGACTCCAATGCTGCGTCGTATTGTTATATTAATGAACAAGAAGAATGGTGTTATATTGATGAAATAAAATTGTGCGACAATATTAAATTTATAGATCAATTTTGCTCAGTCAATCATTTTACTTGCTAAAATGCGCCAACCACATTTAAGGTCTTACATAGATATGGTAAAACTCCTACCTACCTATAATATAAAAGCTCAGCTTCTGATTATCTAGGGCTCGAGAACGGCATCTCGCAGACCGTCTTTAGCCTGAAGCTTGTGTTTGTTAGATATTTAACATATTAAGAATATCTGCAGTAGCATTTAAATTATATGCTTGATATAATTATGCAAATCTTACTATTACGCTTCCGAGTTTAAATTCTTTAATGCCCATTCAAATTATTTTATTGATGATGATTAACTATTATTCTAACTTTTGTTTTTCATTTGTTTCAGACAGATCAACGGTTTGCAGGTTAAAGCCTGCAGATTATGGATGTGTCTTTTACAAACGTATTGGAGGGGGCGCGTCAATATTTTCAGGGGCTACCGTCAGCGAGCGCGGCGGACGGCCCCTATTTCCAGCAAAGCGTGCCGCAAGAACGACCGTCGAGCCAGCTGCAACAAATCAACCATCAACAACAAAACATCCATCAGCAACAGCCAAGCAACCATCAGCAACAGCAGAGCAATCAACAGCAGCAACAAATCAACCACCATCAACAGCAAAGTAATTATCAGCAACAGCAGAGCAATCAACAACAGATCAACCATCAGCAGCAGCAACAGACCTATTACCAGCAAAATAATGATCCGTATTCGGCTAGTATGGCACCAGCAGCGGCCACAGGATCTGTCAACCATTGGATTCAGCAACATAGTCCCTCGGAAGCGAATAGGTAATTATCAGTAGATATATTTTGATACTACTATTAAATTTAAATGACATTGTATATTCTTGGTATTTGGAGGCGGTTATTAGGTGGATGGAATTAGAAATACAATAAATAATATGTAGATCGGCAGCATCAGGATCTCATAATGATGATGCGAATGTTAATAGAAAGGAAATGGAAAAATCGCCATCTGAAGCATGCGTGTTAATATTAGGTCTGGTTCTGCAGAAATCACAAACCAGTCAGAGTGAATTTCATTGGTTGAAACTAGTTTTCTGACTGTTTTCAACCAATGAAATTCGCTCTGACTTGGTTTGTGATTTCTGCAGAAACAGACCTATTATCAAGTGCGTGATCTGAGATTTTCGACGCTAATTGGCCATAATTCGGGGGTCGACTTGGGCGAAGAGCGCTCAATTTAAACGATTAACCCAAGGCCCTAATCAGGCACCAAAATCTAGACGATCAGCGTGGATCATCTCCGATTGAGCATTTCTCTTCAGCCTATAGACTTTATGAACAGACTCTAGTAGGCTTTCTCAGTTTCCTTTTTAATTCTTTCAAAACTTACATTGACTCGGTCGAAAAAAATAAATGTTTGAAAATGTTCTCGGAATCATACCTATTCATTTGAGTTAATTCCCAAATGAGTATATAGAATATAGACCTTTATGTATAGTCTGGCAATACCTCATTGGGCAAGCCACGGCGAACTGGAACTGCAAAGGAATTTGCTGCTTTGCCAAACTTAACAAAAACGATATTAAACAAGTTTACATATTTTTTTTGCAATATGGGTATATGTAGTATTTTGAAATAGGGAAAAATCCGGCAACATTGCGAAATGAAGGATGTGGTGAGGCGTGATTATTCAGAGATATGATTCTATTGGTTAGAGCCTGAACAACAGCACAGTGGTCTTTATTGGTGAAACTAAAGAATTTTTCTCTAATAATTTTATTGGTTTATATCCTTTGTACCCTTGTCAGATAGAGTAATGCTACTATAGTTCGCCTTACGAGTCTAGCACTACGACGTCTGAAAGGCAAGGGGGAATAACGCCATTCATTTCGAGCTTTATGCTGCCTGTCATAGGCTTGCGCGCAGCGTTTTTAAATATTACTTTTTCCTTATAAATGTAGGTGTGTAACATAGATAAATATTAAGGTATTTTCTATTGGAAGTCAGATAGGCAATATTGCAATTTTTTTATCCGCATTCGTTCCATAGTGCTAGACTCGTAAGGCGAACTTTACAGCTGGCGATGAGACCTGTAAATGTGAACATTATTCAGGTCTATGCCCCTACTACTGACCATGATGATGACGAAGTCTAAGAACTCTACCAACAAATTAAAGGCCATCAAAGAATTATTGAAGGAAATAAATCCAGCAAAATTAACGCACCACTACTATATTTTGAAAACTATTTATTATTCCATAATATTAATCAAATATTTGTATGTCCTGATTAAGTATATTCTTATTCTAACTTAATAAGGGTATTAACAAAAGACAAAATTCCAGAAGAAGGTAAGAAAAAAAAACAAGGAAATTCAAAAATAATTAATAACCGGTATTTCCTCCTCATTTTGAATATTAGCACGGCAGCGATTATTAATATTAAAATTACGGGCCTTGTCTCGTTTAATCCAAATTATTCCATATTTGGACAATATCTCCAAAGCCCATTCAAAGTGTTAGAAGGGTTGGGAAGTTCTTCAAAAAGGCGATAGAGCATGTTCCAGACATCCTCAATTGGATTAAGATTAGAACTATTTGCTAGCCAATCCATAGTTTCAATTCCAACCTCATTAAAATAGAAATAAGTTGGTGGTGCGTTAATTTTGCTGACCAATGTACATACAACTACAACTATATCAGTTCCCCTTGATAACAAAAGTGTCGAAGAAAATTGGCGAGATCTCAAAACTTCTTTGAGAAATGGAAGAATTCAGCAACTAGTAAAACCAATGGGGAAAAAAGGCAAAAAAGAATGGATGACGCAGGACATATTGAACCTTATGGAGGAGAGACGAAAACACAAAAACAACAATCATAGTGAGTAAAGAGAATACATCGGATAATACGCGAAAAAATTAGGCAAGCAAAGGAAGTGTGGCTCCAGGCATCCTGCAAGGAAATAGAGCAGCTTCAGACAATACACGAAGACTTTAACTTACATAAAAAAATAAAGGAACTTTCTGGCATATACAAAAAGAAAACCACAACAGTGCTGTATACCGATGGTGGAAAGGCACTGTTAACAAAGGAAGATCAGGGTAATGAACGGCAGCAGTATATTCAACAACTGTTCGAAGACGAGACTCGCGAAACACCAGAGAATCTTTTGACTGATCCGAAATTCAAAAGGCAATACACCAGTCAAAAGCAAGAAAAACTCCAGGACCCGATGAATTTCCTATAGAACTAATAAAACTACTCGATGACAAAAGCATATCTATTCTGACAGCATTCTTCAACCAGGTTTACCAAACTGCGAAACTCCCCGACGACTGGCAGAAATCGATCTTTATCGCCTTACCCAAAATCAACAACGCTAATAGATGTAATGACTTCCGGCTAATTAGCCTATAATCAGTGTCGGACTGGCCCACCGGGCAACCGGGCAAAATCCCGGTGGGCCAGGTGACGTCTTCGACTGGGTGGGCCATTCGAATATTTATAAAAATAATTTAAAATATCCCACTCCCCGCGCCATTGATCATCAAATCATACGTTATTTCGCGTAATCCACCATCCTTATAATAGTATATTATGCAATGATCATGTAATGATAGCCATTAATACACGAGCATGTTGTAGGATACGAAACGAGCCGCAGGCGAGTTTCGTATATAACATGCGAGTGTATTAATGGCCATTACATGAGAGTTGCATACACTATTTTTTCTACTGCCATTGATAAAACTTATGATTTTTAGATATGTCAACATTATGCTATTATGCTTAACTTTGAATAGAGATTTTATAATTGAGTAATGCGTCCATATACAGTTGCAGGTTTCATTTTTTGTTGTAATTCTTCAAAATATACTATCAAAACATTTTCTGAGAAGGACGATGTGTTTTTGGTGTTTCTCCAATTCATAAATTGTCCATATAATTTTTCGTAAATTTTCTTGGACTTGTCCGGTAGTATATTATTACCTGCATTTGTCGCCCTTTGTATAATTTCTGGAGGTGTTAGTGAAAATTCTTCGTTATCACTCAATATTTTCGAATGTAATACCACAAGAGGTTTCAGGATTATCGGATAATACTTTTACCTGTCACGAAACGCGTTACGCGTTGAGTGTCAGGTAAAAGTATTAGGTAATCCTGAAACATCGAGTGGTATTCAAAAGGTTATACAACGAACAAAACTTCAGTACTTTATTAATTTTTATCATTAATAATAACAATATTGCCACCAAGCGCGATAATCCCAAAAGGCTTATCACTTTTTAAGCCTCTCGTGTCATATGGGAATAATGTACAGTGAGTTGTATAACCATAATAATGCCTCATCCGAAACTTTAGGTAACTTTTAATAACAATTTGAAGTATTTTTTTATAAAATCATTGTTTTTCGCTAAATTACCATGGAAAAACTATAAACAGAGTGCTGTCAACATTCAAAAAAAAATAATCAAAATTTCTTAACTGGTGGCGCCATCTATTGACAATGTATGATAATGAAAAAAGTAAAAATTCTTCCTTATCGCTCATTATTTCCATAATAATTATTCTTTGTCCCAAACTTTAAATAATTTTAATCGTTTAATAGCATACTATGAAATGTCAGTAGAAAACCAGATGTCAAATTTCTGACATAACGCTTCCTAGACAAATAACTACCTAATTAATTATTGTCATTGTCATTAATTATTGTCTTTTCAAACCATGAATTCATTTTAATAGATCTTGACATTTTTTCAGGCTTTAATATAATTTTTTTTCAATTTTTCAATTTCAAAAATGTCCCAATGAAACCTATTGAGATTTTTGAGATTTTTTTTTTTTGTATTATATAAAGCAAAATGAGTTCTTACCAATCAATGAAAAAAAAAGATGGCGTTCCCATTTAAAAAAAAGATCAATAACGTCATATCTTGAAGAGGAATAGGCTCGTTCAGTGAAGTTTCATTAACCACGTTTTTCGATATTTTTATGGAGTATTACTCACACATAGCACACAAAAAAAAAATTCAGCTCAATTGGATAAATATTAAAAAAGTTATGCGGCTTTGAATATTAAAACATTATGCCTCAGAAATTCATCGCTGAGATGCTGAGAGATGGTATGACGTCATCTCTCGAGTCAAGACGGGCTAAAGGCCGTCACACAACCAACGTGAGAGATGCAGTGACGTCACCGCGTGTTTCAAAACTTTCAAAATGGGAGCGTTTTGATAATTTATTTAAATATGAACAAGGGCTCGGAAAATTATGAAATTTTGCATAACTGCTAAACTCAATACGCTCTTTTAGAATAAGTAATAAAAAAAATATGCTGTACGAGCCTATTATTTTTTTTCCTATATCTCTCCGTAACTTTTCCCTACACGTCTTCTTATACCTATTTCCAAAATTTCATCAAATTCCATCGAGCCGTTTTCTCAGAAAAATGCCAACACAGACACACATACATACATACATACATACACACAGACGGAAATGTGCCACCTTGCCAAAAAGGCTTAAAATGATCCAAAACGTCAAGATTTAATGAAATTTTGACATTTTCAAAATCGGGCTATCACCATAGCTTCCTATATCTAGGAAGCTAAAAAATCAACAGCCGATGTCGCGTAGAAATCGCCTGCCGCATTTCAATGAATTTGAATTCAACTAACGTACCCGTTGTTGATTGTTGATTTTTAGAAATACAGAGACAGGGTAGTGAATTTGTGAAAAAAGCCACATCCACATTGGTTTTGGTTTTGATTTGTTTGTTTTTATATGTAGATATAGATATAGAAAGAAAAATATATAGACTCG